GGGGGGGGGGGGGGGGGGGGGGGGGGGGGGGGGCACTGCTGTGGGAGGGGGAGCACTCGTTCTTGTTGGCTATAGTTACAACAAGGCCCTACAATGGTCAATTGCACCTGAGGTGAAATGAAGCGCCGCCCCTTGCACCATTTACTGTAGTTCTTGTATCGATTCCGACCCTTGCAAGTGCCACTTTGTTCTGATTTTTCGCGGTGTGCGTTGACCATCTCCTGCACGACGTACATGTAGGGTTTTTCGGCCCAACGCTCCGCGGTATGTTTCTGCTGCTTCGTAAATCTAGTGCCAGCTTCATCACAATTATTTTTCATACTGTAGGGGGCGTGGGTGAGGACGGGGAAACTCGTGAAGCGTGCGTAAGATGGCCGAAAGAAGGGGCATATTTCTGCATCTACCCTCCTCTTCAGCATAAAGCCATACGGCTCGACGAGACGGGCTGGGTATAGCAGGTCATGCCGGGGCCCCGAAGACAGGAAAGTCACTTCGAGAATAGACAGGTCACACAGCACCCAGGTCCTTGATATTTCCAGTCATCAAGACCCTCCTCCGGCCACAGCAGACACGAAGAGAACGAACACAACTCTTCTGCGATCTCTCTCTCTCTCTCACCTGCGTAGTGTTGACCAGCTGCACCTCCACGAAGGGGCTGCCCCGCACGGCCGTGCAGACGGGATTCACGCTCACGGGGTTCATCACCGAGAATCGATAAAACTTGCGCATGCTGCGCGGCTCAGACCCTTCAGGATCACCGGCCACGTGGTACTTTACCGTAACCTGTCGCGAGGCGAGAGAGAGAGAGAGAGCGACCAAAGCAAGGTGCCCCCACGAGAGACAAAACAAGTCTAGACTCAGGGCGCTCGACACAACAACTGCGATAAATAACTGTGGCCCGCTCGCTTGCCAACGCCTACAGCACGGCGGACATGTTTCTACTTGCCAGAACAACGCTCACAGCTGGGTGTCTGGACATCACAACTACAAGCCCACTCCTGCTCCAGCTGGGCACAAAGCAGTCAACAACACGCGACAAAACAAACCTCTCTATTCCGTTTGTTTCTCCATATGTCCCCCCTCCCTCGCTGTCTCTGGCACTCCCTGAGTACTCCCTGCCGTCTTGTGTATGCCTCTCTACGTTGTACGCCCGTTATTCTGTCCTCTTTCCACCCCCCCATCAAAGGCCAAGCCCCCCATCTCCCACCCACAACCGCTTGCAGCAGATGTTGCCGTCCCGCGGGTTTGTCTACTCCTGGAAGGACAGTTGTTTTCTCGTTCTCACCCTGAGCGTGTGCGTGCCGAGTTCCTCCAGCGTGTGCTCCACGATCATGTCTAGGTTCTCCGAGGGGCTGAGCAGGGGGGCCGGGTTTGGGCGAGACACGCTCGCACCCCTCGCCGTGCGCCTGTCCTCAAGATCCACCCGGCCCGTCGGGGACTGCAGCTTGGCCGACAGCGACGCGTTGACGAGCACGGTCGTCGACATGTGGTTCAGCACGCTGTTGGAGGAGGGTGGGAAGACGACGAGGAGGAACGGATATGCGGGCAAATATCAAGGGTTCGGAGATATGATAGGAGTGGCGGGAAAGTAGATGAGCTGGGGGTTACGTGGAGAGCCCAGGAAAGGCGCCATGAGAGCAACGTTCTTTTCTGCGTAACGGTGGAATCTCAACAACCCATCGATGCATTGTGCATCATGAGAGTAGCTTGCTTTCCTGCAGCACCGCGGGCTCTCAACAACTCGACTGCTTAGCCCGCATGCAGGTTTAGCCTGCAGCATGTGACGCTGCAGTACCCCCGGGCTCTCTACTTCTGCTTCTTCACTGGCATCAATTTCGGGTGGCGAAGTTTCTTGGCGACACAAGGGAAGGACACGATTCGCTGCAAGTCTGCTACGTGTGTGCGGATAGATTTTGCAGGACCAATCTACGGAGAACCGCGGAGTGGAACAAACAAACCGGTACCACCCGGCAGACTACTACCGGGACAAACACAGATGACAGATGATAGAGCTCTCGAAATATAACACCGGGAATGTGGGCCGGCGCCGAGGCCTCTAATTCACACCAACAGATCGTCAATATTTTGTTGCTAGCAAACCCTTCCAACACAGCAGCAGTTCTTGGAATCATGTGTTTCTGGGGTACATTATAAGGTTAAGGTTCCATCTCGATGTGGGTATATGAGCAGATGATGGTAACATGGTCTTTAGGGTGTTTTTAGGGTGGGGAGGGGGAGGCCATACGCGTGTCCTCTCGAGGGTAGAGAAGAAGTAATCGCTGCTGCAGCTGCAAAAAATGGCCCTACAGTCTAGGAGCCTGTAAAAAGGTGGCGTACTGCAAGAGAAGCAAGCATCTCCGCCGTATAGTCGTTCTGCTGTTGGTCTCCCCGGGAAAGGCTGGAAAATACTTGCGCAAAGTGAGCATCAACATGCCCCAGCTCTTGTCACATGCTCCGCAACAAAGGAAGCCTCACAAAACAGTACCTGATGTAGGCCGTGAAAGTCTCGCCGAGGTAGATGTTCCCGAAGCTATCGGGGAGCTTGAGGGCGCTGCTGAGAGCGAAGTCGCCCTCACCCCTCGTCGATCCCAACGAGATAGGATCAGACGCGGTAGCTGCGGAGCAGGGCGGAAGCACTCTGCGACCATCTAATCGGGGCTTGTACAGTCGCATCACGCGCAGCGTGGGCTGTTCGCTCGTATCCGCTGGTGCAGGCGGCATGGCTCCCCTGGCATTTACAAGCACCAGCAGCTATCGACGTCTCGTGTGTGTCTTTCTTGCCTTGTGTTCGTGTGTTGCTTGCCTGGAGGGGCTCTCCAGCCTGCTCATGCCGAACTTTGATCCACGGAACCCCCGGCGGCGGAACCAAATGGCGAAACGCGAACCAGGCCAGGCGGAGATTTTCCAAGGGAGATCTTTGCGCGAGTGGGACCATGCATGATACCATTCGCTTACGGCAGCTGGGCGACACGTGTGTGCTTGCCTTGGGACCGAAGGGGTAGGGGAAGGGGTTGTCTAATCAAGATACTTGTCACACCGCGTGCTTTGCTAACGAGGGGGAGGATACACGATCGTCTCGGGCCAGATTCGGATCGCCCGTCTTGGATCTACGAAGCATCACGATTCCTGCCGAACACAGCACACAACCCTGTCGGACGGCGAAATCATTGGCCAGAGAGAGCACAGCGGGGCATTGAAATAGACGAAGAAATATATCTACTTCTTGGCCACGAACGGCGTTGGGTGGCGGGAAGCCCCTTCACGTCAGACCATGATTCAACCCGGACCAAGCTCTCTCGGCTCTTTTGCGGGTTTCAAGGCGCACGAGTTTGTGGCACATGCTGGTAAGACCAACTGCGTCGCCGTTGGGCCGCGATCGGGACAAGTCCTTGCTACCGGAGGAGATGATAAGGTGCGTGCAGCGAGCACGGCAGTACGTGCCACTATAGTAAGTCCGTCATTCCCCGAAGCTTGTATTCGACCGCGTGTGCTCGAGCACCAACACCCCTCGCAGGGAGCTGCACTCCTGCAAAGTGTCACCCCACGTTGTGTTGCTAGCAGGTCGCAAGAGAATGTGGGGGAGACTGTCACGAGCGATTCGTAGAACGCGGCACGATGAGCGTACTGCTGCTACTTTTTGGTGTACAAAATACACAGGGTAGACAAAGTTGTATCCACATGTGATATTTCTCGTGTGGATTGTGTCGTGTCCACGTTGTGACCGCGGGGCAAGCGAAGTAGTATGATAACATGTCTCACGCGACAATCAGTCATGCACGCAAATAGACCTTTGGGAATCCTGAGCCATCGATCTCGCCTGACCATCGTTTGCCCCCCTGACGACCTCGTGTCGAAGTTGACCCATCTATCGGTCTTATGGTGTTATCAAGATAAGCCGTGGCGACCAGGAAAATTAGCCAGACACGATGAAACCAAGCTCGCCTCGCCTCCCTCTCATCCTTCGTTTCTGACGGCGGGGACGTTCCCCATTAGGTCGGTCAAGAGCTCGCCTCACGCCCAAGCGCCCCACAAAATCAACCACAACCCGAAACTGCCATAAATTAGACTTTTTCTACCCGATGACATGTACAAAGCCCGCTTCAAACGCACAACGAACCAACACATGAAAAGTATTTCCGATCATCTGAGATAGATGCGGACAGGTATCACTTTCGTGATTCGGGAAGGAAAGGCCGTGAGACGACGGGGAGAAGTGGAACGGTAATGTGGGCACGCTGACTCAGCCGTGATCAGGGCGCGAAGTCGTCATGGAGACCTCATTGCCAGGGAAAATCCCATGGTCTTGTCGGCACGACACCATGATTCGATTACCTAGCGTGCCCGATGGTTTTCTCACGCAAACGCGTACGATCATTGTCCCAATGATGCACGAGGGTTGCCAAGATTGTCTACCAAGATTGTTCGCCAAGGCCACGGCACCACACGTAGTCAGGAGAGTACACACAACCGTGTGCAATCGTGCAGCACATGCATGAAAGCATGCCTGGAAAGTTGGGAATACCTGGAAGTCCCTTACATTCCCATGCGTACCGGGGGTAGAGTACTTACAGATGTATACCTTCCTCGGCCAAACCCGTCTCGTTGGAAACATTTGACGCTATGTCCATCGTGGTTGACAAATCTGTATACACTCTAGACTTTCCCTACGAAAGTTCCGAGAAGTTCGCGTCGCATGGGATATATTTCTAGGCCTACCTCCTTTTTCTCGGCCAATGGCGGGCGCGAAAGAGGCGGGCGCCCATGCTCAAGAACTCGTCTATATCGTGTGCACTCCGGGCGAAGCTTCTAGAAAAGCACCGATTCCACAAAGGAAGGACTATAAGCTATCTCCTACTGCTCCCTCGCTCATTCTGACACACGTGGCCGCTTCGGGACAGAGAGTAAACGTGTGGCGAATCGGTCGTGCCAGCAGCATTTGGAGTCTCACGGGAAACAGCTCGGGTATCGAGAGCCTGCGATTTGATCCCACAGAAGAGTTCCTGGTGAGCGGGAGTGCGGGGGGGGCCGTAAAGCTGTTCGACCTCAGCGCCGGCAAGATGACCAGGCACTTCCGAGGGCACATGTCCAACGTAACCGTCATCGACTGCGGTAGCTTCGACCGCCGATTCGTCACCACTGGCTCGATGGACTGCCAGGTGGGTTTCAGGGAAGATACACGCCACGTTGAAATTGTGAGACTCGTAGAAGTATTTTTTTGGTGCTCTTTGGTGAGTAGTGAGCCCCCAATCGTTGACTGTTGGCATCCAGTACCGGCTAGAGAAGCTTTGGTTTGTCTTGCTGTCGCCACAGAAAAGTCGGGGGACTACAAGGTTCGTTTTTACAGTACGCGATGGCGCCGTACCAGCCGTGCTTGTGGTCGGCTATGTATCACCATGCATAGGAAGAAACGTAAGCGTTCGACATACGAAATATGAGATTGTAGGGACTCCTTGTTGGAACGCCTGAAGGCGTTTACCGCGAAAGTCTTGACCTTTCATGTTCGAGTTGACTCCTTCCTAGTTTTTCTCCTGTTTAAGTGTAACGGTCGAGTATGGGCTTTCGGACGGGGCCTGAAAGCGAGGCAATCAAACCTCACGTTGTCATTGAACAATTTCTGCTCCGACGCGGTGCAGGTTAAACTGTGGAACGTGGAGACGAAGGAATGCGCCATGGCGTTCAAGGGGCACAACGCAGAGGCAAGCATTTTTTGCAAGAGAGCTCGGTTTAGGAAAAAGGGCCATAGGTCCTGAAAGTGCTTCAAGACCTCAGGGAAACAAGCCGGGGTCTGAATCACTCGTATAGATGCCGTTGCTTTAACCCTCACGAAGATGTAGTGATCCGGAATGAGAGTAGCCTGGTCTGCGACTATCCCGTTCTTCCACCGCAAGCACAACATGAGCCATACCTGCGAAAACATTTGACTCTAAACGTTCACGGAACTTGGCCGCACCTCTTGATAACACTTCATCCCTTCGGGGTTCGTTCAAAGCTGAAGATAGATGTGCAGTTTCCACCCTGCCGGGAAGAATTGTGTGCTGAAGTTTTCCGGGGGAATTTCACAAGGCGCGGTACCGTCGACCTTCTTCGCGCTTAACTTTTTCAGGTCACAGACGTCCAGTTTAGCCCCGACGGCCATATTCTAGCCTCGGCGGCCGCGGACGGACAGGTCAAGTTGTGGGATCTAAGGGCCGGAAAGCCCATGCACACGTTCCAGGTGAATGACACCGGTACATAGCCTTGGCGAAGAGGTTTGTTTGGATGGGTCTTGCTGGAATGAAGTGCGGAGATTAGAATATACATCGTGTGCGACGATCATTCCCGTGGAACCATGATTTTTCCAGAGTTGGCGATCCTAAACCCGTACGGCCCAGGCTAGATATAGTCCTCGAGCAAACACCACAAAAGCCGCTCCTGTTCGATCTCTGAGCAGTTTCCTTCTCCTGTCGGTTGTGAATGGTCAACGGGCGAACGAAAAATATCTCAACATCGATCTCCTACTCAACTCACCGCTGTGGGCTTCGATTTATCATTTCCCGTTTGTAGTTCTCCGTCGTTGCAGTTGGTGCGAAAAGTATCGTCCCGACACCCAACAACGAACAAGTCAGTTTCAGACGAGAGCAACGAAGTATATTCAAACATTTTCGACCACCCCTCTCATAGCGCACGGACGATGTGACCGGGGCAACTCTCAAATCAGTGATGTCCTGCGTTCAACATACTGATCTCCCAACGCACCGCGCCCATGCTTCTTCCCATGCTTGCAACCCACCGCTGCTCTGTAGGCGTGCTCGGGAGCCGTGCGCGCGATTCGATTCAACCCCCAGGAGTTCTTGCTTGCGGTGGCCACGAGTGATCGGACGGTGAAGCTCTATGACATCGAGTTCATGGAGCTGTTCTGTCCCACAGCGCCCGATACATGCCCGACCAGGTGAGAAAAACAAGAGGAAATCGGCTGGCCAAGTTTCAGACGCCGTGTGGTCGCCGACTTCAGGATCGGCATACCTGAGTTCTCTCGCACCGTTCCGGTATAAGGAAAGAAAACCCGTTTTTTGTACGAGCCGTTTTCATCGCGGCGGAACATCCTGCCCCTCAGATCATCCTTCGTCGCGCACCGTTGCTCCCTGGGCCACTGCATTCTCTGCCGGTGTCGCCCCCTTAGACTGATGCCGCTGCTGTTGCTGTCGCTGCTGCTGCTATTCCAACTGTTCTGCTGCAACCGCCATAAACTATTGCCAAACTTAACGAGACCCTTGATGCCGAACCTGTTTCTTCTTTCGCACAGGGCGATTACCTTCGACCCAGACGGGCAAAAGATGTACTGCGCCAGCCCTTCCGGCCTGCGGAGGTGGAGCTGGGACAACCACATCGCGTCCGCGCAGCTAGAGGCCATGGGTGACGTTCCGTGGGGCAAGGTCGGGGCGGGAGCGCTTCACTACAACGCCGACGGCCAACAGGTAGGGGGCAGTACACGAACGTTCTGCATATATGCCTGTTGAGGTGTGCATAGATATATCCAGGAAATGAGCATCCTTTCTCTCTAGAGGACGACGGCTTCGTTGCTTTCCGGACACCCCCCGGGGTAGCATGACCCCCGACTAATTCTCTACCCTTAGGGTCGCAACTTGGGTACGTTGTAGCCCACGTTTCTCAGTAGAACCACTCCATATGCATACGGCCTCTACCCTACCACGCCCTCTTTTGTCCGGTCTGTCGACGCCTCACTCATGCTCCCTTCACCCCCCCCTCCACGGCCTCACGTCAGCTCCTAGCTGCTTCATGCGCCGGTAGCCGGGTTTCCGTGTGGGCAGTCGATTTCGACTCTCGGGACGTCCTCCTGTCTCGAACGCAGCAGCAGCAACAGCAGCAGCAGACCGGAGGCACTTTTGGATCAGCTACAGCAGCATCAGCAACAGGAGCAGCATCAGAATCATCGGCCCCACTCGATACACCGGCACGAGGGGCAACGACAACAGCGACGGAATCCCCCTCCGATCCTTCTTTGTCAACGACGGATAGGGAGTACGGAGATGCCGACGCTAAGGTGCCTGAGGTATAATGAATCCGGCATCTGGGCCTCTGCTCTAGTCGACTATTTATTCAAGAACGGCATCATGGAGGGTCTAACCCAAACTCTTTCGCATAGGATACCATGGTGGGTTTCGTTCATTCTGGATAAACCTTAACGGTGTTGTCTGAGAAGGCCGAATGTTTGGCTCTAGGGAGAGAGGCAAGAAGACACCCCCTCGGCGAAGGAGTTACTTGGTAGAAAAACGACGACTGCAAACTCATATCACGGGCCGCCCTTCAAATTTCGTTGCTAGCTTACCCAAGTGAAACCACCCCTGCCCTCTTTCACCGACAGCAGTCGAGACCCTCGAGGGGGAACACGTTCCCTGCAAGCAGAGACGGGCAGCGGTCCCACAGCCGGGATTCTAAGCCGACGATGGAAAAGGAGGCAAGCGGCGGCGACGACGGCTCGAGCGGCGGCGGCCGCGCCGGCAACGCCGGTAACGCCGGCATGCCGGCCTTCCAGGTTCTCGGCCGACAGGTGGTCCTTCTCCCAACCGCCGCCGAGGAAAAAGCGAAGCCTTCTTCCCCGCCGGGGGCCCCAGCCGCCACGCCAGCAGCAAACCCTTCCGGGGCGACGGTAGGAGGGCCCGCTTCGGCCGGCGGCGGCAGGATCCAGAACCGACACGCGGCTCGCGCGGAGGCCGTGGCGGCGACGGTCGCCGCAGTTGCTTCCGCCAAGGCCGCCACCGACGACGCGGTCGCCTCCGTGGCCGGCTCGATCCGACACCGTAGCGTCGGCACCTCGATCTCGGACACGCTCGTCATCGCCGACGGCTGCACGGCCGACCAAGCAGACGACAGAGCCGGGGGGAGGGAGCATCGGCCGGCGGCTTGGTCCGAGCCAGCTCCCGGGAAAGATGACGGAGGGAACTACGTCCGTGACTGCGGCCGGGGTGTTGCCGCGGCCCTGGGTGTGGTTGCCGCCGGCGATCGTCACCGCCTGAGCGGTGAACGGCGGGCGACTGGGGGAGCCGACGACGGCGACGAGTGCAAGTGGCACAAGCGCGTCGCGGGCGCATTCGCCGGAGTGGAAGGCACAGCGGACGATGAAAAGGGGATGGAGCGCAGGGACGATAGCGGCGGCGACGGTAGCGGCGGCAAGACCCGAGGAAAGGGTAACGCGGACGAAAAAGAGGCGCGACGCGAGGGAGACGGGACGGATAGAGCAGCAAATGTTGGCGTGCCTTCGGGCGTCACGTCCCGGATGACGGTGGACCCTTGGCCGAAAGATTCGTGGGTAGAAGCCGAAGGAAGAAACAGGGCCGGGGTGCCGGGAGGAGGAGAAGATTCGCCTCCGCTCTTGGGCTCTCCCGAACCGGCTCCGGCTGCTGCCTCGAACCCCGCTCGGAGCATGAACGAACCGCCATCTTTCCCGTCTTCGTCTCGGCGGTCTCCGGACCGCCCTCAACCGAGCGACAAAACAGACACCGTCGTCACGCGCTCGTCTGCCGTGGGATTTCCTATCACGACGGCGGACGGCAGCATTAGCGGTGGTGGGAGCAATAGCCCGCCTGCCCCCTCCGGAGGTTTGCCGCCGGAAGCGCGTAGAGCGGGGGATGTTAGTGCGGCTGCTGCTGCTGCTGCGTCTGGGCCTGAACCCGAGGGTCTGAGTGTTGCCGATATCTTCGGAGACGGTGGTGGTGATTGTGGTGGTGGCGGTAGTGACGAGCTGGGCATGACGCGTCCTAGGACGGCCACGAGGCGTTGGGATAGGCCAGGGCCACCAGGCGAAGACGAGGTCATCGCCAAGACGCTGCTTTCGCGGGCAACCGCGACCTCTACGCTGTCGAATCGGTGAGATAACCGTATGCAGTTGGGTTCATTACCAGGGTGAGGCGAGATGTTTTTCTCCACCCGACGAATGTTGTCCAAACAGTCGTTGAGTGCAAAAGGTGGACTCGAGTACCCTTCGCCCTACGCTGCTCCCGCCTCGCACGCACAAACTCTGTTATTAACGATCAGATTGGGCCTATGAACAGATGTTCAACATCACACAAACTCTTGTCGATTGACCACGTTACTCTCAGATTTTCGCGCCGCTTGAGCACACGCGACACCATGTTCAAACACTGACCAAACGCTACCCCACCCGCCCTCTCCCGTGCGACAAATATAGCTTGACTCACCTCCGGATGCTCAGGTATGGTTGGGCGGACGGGGACGTGTCTGGCACCATCTCGAAGCTGACACGGCTTGAGAGGTAGGTCAGCGCGCAGGTCATACCAGCCAGCCCCCTCCCTGCAGCGACGCGTGCCGCAGGAGCTGTAGCGTTCCCGACGAATCGCTCTAGGATTACGGCTGGTTGTTGAAGGACAGCTCGAAGCCAACGCCAGCGGTTCTATGACACTAGTGTGATGGGTGACACCCCCGGGAGGCCCTTCGTCCATCGATTTTGTCGTAGCGGGTAGCCGGCGAGTCTCAATCTCGTATGGCGGTAGCTTCCCGTAAACACGACCCCTTTGAGACTATCTGTACCTGCACGTTACCTAGGTCCGCCACCGTTGCCGACGATTCCCCAAGGACTGTGGTGGCGGACTTTCTGTGGGTGGTGCCACTCGACGGGACTCGGGTGACCCTCGACCACTGCTTGGAGCTGATGCCGCTCCTGGAGGGGTTGTGGAAGGTGGCTGAAACCCCCGCCTGCCTGCCTTCATTCTTGACCACTCGGTTCGCTCCAAAGATCTATTTACTGCGTGCAGTCGCTCCCTGGTCACGGATTTATATGGTTGTATGTGCATCCCTACTACTGGATACCTATATCCTGGTTTTCACAGATCGGAATGTTCAATTATCTTCGTCCACCTCGTGGATTCATTGCGGTTCGTGTGAGGGAGCTGAAAGATAGCTGTGGCAGTAGGGGCGTACCGTACTACCGTGATGGAAAACGATGAAGCACGTAAGGCTCGAGCTAGAACTTGTTGCTAGCCTGCGCTTGCAAGGCCACTTCGGAGTAGTGGACTTCACGTTTTTTCTCCCTCATCTTATCGCTTGAGGGCTCTGACCTCTTCCTTGAAATTCATCCCAGACCATTTCACACGTGTTGACTGCGCACAGCTCGATGCGGACAGTTGTGTCGCCGCGGCGACGCGGTGCCTGGAGTCGATCGTGCGGCGCTTTGGAGGCTTCATTCGGGACACTCTCACGGCCCCGGTTGCCGCGGGGAGGGTGGACTTAGCCAGAGAGGACAGGGTAGCTCGCTGCCGTGAGGCGCACAGGGTGAGTTAGGACGCGACGGAGATTCGCGGGTGCGCGTGGGGGGGAGGGGGTGGGCAAGGGCAAGATCAAAGAAAAGGGGGGAGAGGGGAAACGTTGCCAGGGGGTTCCATTTGTCCGAAGGTTTTCTTTCACGATGTCACCGTCAGGGATCTGATCAGCACGACCCGTCGACACTGCATGCTCCACAGCTGTGAGTTACCTTGCCACCAACCAAGACGGATCTGAGCACCCACGCGAAGAGTGAGGGCATGCTTTGGTTGAGAGAAATTCAGACTGTAGTGGGTGCCCCCCCGGCCTTGTTCCCCGAGTATGAAATGGTGAATCTTGTCAAGGTACTGGATTGAGGACTCGTTACATCCTGACGTGGCAAGACGCTACCTCCACCACACCTACTACGAAGACCGAACACCTCCCATTGTGCACGTTCTCCCTGAACAAGTACTGTGCTACACTGGGGCTTCGTTGATCACAACTGCCGATCCCCCCAAGCCACCGTAGCACAAGGCAACACGAATCGAGCGAAGAAAGATTCAATCAAGGTGTTTTCGTGTCCTCAACTGTGACGATCAACTGCTTTCTCCCACAGTTTTCGTCACCGTTTTCCTGCTGCTCGGCGCTGCGCGCAACACGCCCCACTCCAACCCCCCCCCCTCGCAGGCCTTCATTCGGGGCTATCATCACCTCGAGAGATCCGAAGGGGAGTTCTACGAGGACAGGAGGATAGCGGCTGTGGCGGAACGACTGCGACCCTTGTTCGAGAGCTACTTCATGTCTTGACATGCAGCTCTAGCCGTAATGCAGTGAATTGCTATCGCAGACTTTGCTTTCTCTCTCTTAGACATGAATGAGACCGCAGATCAAGGAACTTTGGGGTGGTTTCGGGGGGGTGGGGGCGAGCCGCAAACATCGTGCATGACAAATCGTTGGATTTCATCAGCAAAGAAAATATCTCTTAGTAACGTTGACAAGTCAAGTTATTGAGTTCCAATCCCGTGTGTGACACTATGATTATAGCAAGCGCTTCTTCGTGTATATGCGTACGAAAAAGGGAAACGACAGCAGTTCAGCCTCGTTTTTGGTACAAACTGAAGGCGAACACCGCAGATAAGTTCTCATGTGGATCCGGCTGATACAACCAACGCATACTGGACATGTAGCCCGGGGCATCCAGAATAGATGGGAAATATTGTTTTTTCGGTCAACAATCCGCGCTTTCAAACAGCTCTGGTTTCCTGGAGCACCCGACCTGAGGCTTTGGAGTCTGCCTTTATTTCTTGAGGCCGCTCGCCAAGCACCGGGACAGCGGTTCAACAATACTAAGCCTTGTGTTGTCCCACGTGCGAAGAGCGCTGCATGAGTAGCTGGGTTCAGGGCGACACAGAGAATAATCGTTCTGCGATAATTGCCTCAAACGTTTAGCGCGGTAGAAGGGTTCAGCAGTCCTTGCATTGTTTTTCTCACGAACAAGCGCTTTCCACCAAATAGACAAATGTACCAAAAGCGGAACACGCAAAACTCATAGCCACATGGTTTTAGAGAATGCGAAACCGCTTCCGAGGTGTCCACGACTTCCGATTTGAAGGAAGAGACATTGCGGTAGTCCCTCCTTGCCTTCCCTTAGGTGTCGCGGACACTGACCCTACCTAGTGGAATCCAGGCCTGATGTGTTCCGTCTCGATTGCACTTGTCACATGGGTACGCAACGCTGAATGGAAGTATATTCGGTGATGACACGGGGAGCACAATGCATCCCTGTATTTCGGCGTCTCAACTGAAGGCCTGAATGCTGTGGGCGTACAGGTAATGACCTCTCAACGTCTCCTTTCGTCAAGCGTGTACAATAGCATTCGTAGGTTAGACGCCCAGCAACTCCGTTCGTGGAAGCGGGTCAAACCACCTATTGATGCACAGGAGCATTTTCTAGGCGATTTGTTGTGAGAAAGCGGAGAGAACCAAACCACGAGAGCAAGGCCGGAACAATTGAGGCTCTCTGCTGCGGCTTTGGAGCGTGTGGACCCATCCACTAACACAAAAAAACAACGAAGCCTTTCGCCATCGGCTCAACTCATGGCAGCACGACCACAAACACAAAAAGGTCTACGCGCACTTGGTGGCAACACGTCGAGAACTTATGCGGAGTATTCCATGATGATCTGTCTACTTTGCATTAGGGAGGGGACGCCTGAACAGATTGTACGTGTTGACTCGTTCACAAACTCTAGAGTCGCGCAAAAATTTATAGCGGGTCATTGAAGAACCACTGGTTCGCAACAACTTATGTAGGAAATGTCGCCACCAATACATCCGTGCTTTCGGCGGCCCGGTCTCCCAATGCAGGTTAGAGCAAGTAAACAACGCACAACAACAATGTTCGAAACTCATGGCTCACCCTTCAAGACGAAACCGTAAATCGACGTGGTCACGAAAGCAACACGAGACTTCAACGCGGTCACGCACGTGCTTGACTCACAAGCACCATTCTTGCTTCAAGCACAAATAAGCACTCCTCTGGTTGAAAACACAAGGACGATTTGGATTCAAACGTGATTATCCCAATGATTTCCAAACAGAGTGGTATGTGAGGAGCCTTCTTCTTGGTTCAGCGGCCCGCAACGGACTCGTAAAAGGACGCGATAACGGGAGCAACCTGCTTCCTCGAGGCCCTGACGTTCCTCAAATCCCACCGCAAAAACCATCCGCGGGCCCCCTCTTCTGAACCCTCTACTTCGTCACCGCGGCCGCCGAAATCAGTTCCTGGTGGCGTTGCCGCCTCTAGCTCTAGGAACTCCCCGTGGGCGCCTTCGAGGTACTCCCGCATCTGGTCGCCCCGTAGCTTGGTGTGGGTGAAGATGAGCAGTTCCTTCTGCATGTTTCCCTCTTCGTCCAGAGTACTCTGTGCAGGGGGTAAAAAACGCACAAAACACACACGAGGGGTTTTAAACCGTATCCCAAACACGAGGGAAAGATTATCCTGGCATTTGTTGGTTTGCCTGAGTGCTTCGTGTTCTTCAGGTAGTGACGCATCTAGCGGACAAACGAACTTTCACATTGCGCTTGTTGAATGGCGAACCATCTACGGCACGATAGCGGTTGCCATCTCCCCATCTACGCTGTCGATCAACTACAAACCTCCGTCGGACGTTTCATCAATGCCATAAGGCAGAGGATTGACGCTAAGTGCTACAACTTATCCACGCCAACCCTACCGTCATCACTGCCAGCGAGTCCACCCCCTGGGAGACCGCAAACGTGCGCATGGCATCGCCGAATCCTTCGTATCCTCCCTTCTCCGCGAGCGTCTCCAGCCGGCACAGGGTAGAGCTCATTCCAAACTTCAGCGGACGGGGCGGCTTGTCGTGGTCTTGACGGTCGTCATGACTACGGGAGGTCCCTGCCGAAAATAAGCGAGAAGCGGAGTGAAGCGTTCGTGATACGCCTTGTGTCAAACGCGATTCCGCTTGTGACCAAGCCACTTCCTATCACGACAACAACGACGACGATAAAAACGACGTCCACACCCCGTTGCCGGCATCTGCCTCACCGCCGCTCTCGCCTGCCGCATGAAAACTCTTGTAGTCGTAGCGCAGAGTGTCGGTCGCAGAGATCTCCCTCCAAAACGCCGGATCAAACTTAGCGTTTCGCAGGGTATCGAACAACTCGTCCGCCGTGGTACAGCAGCGACCTGCAGTCGAGCAAAGGCGCTGTTTATCGTCAAGCCCCTCTTATCAGGGTTTGACCTGCACCCCTTTTGTTCTTGATGCAGACCAGCCAACTCACTCGATGGTGTTGCGAGAGACAGGCAAGGATCTACTGTGCTCATCGAGCGCCTGTAGCCTCCTGCATGTACTAGCCGTTGCTAACACATTTCGCATCAGCGAGGGGGGCGGGAGGATTTGGTGTGCACATGTCTTCACGTTCGCCCGACCACCCTCCGTTGGCGTCCAAGCCGTCATGTCAATGTACATACCACGTATGCATCAAAGGAAGCATAAGTCTCACGTGCAGAAGAGGGAGAACATTCCCCAGAATCTTGCGCAACCGGTGGCAACCACGACACCCGGCGAGACAGCTCCTGTGCAGCGGCGATATCTCGACTCGTCGCCCGTTTGATCTCCATGTCGAGGTTTAGCGTGTCCACAAGAATCTGGCGACGGGGAGAGAAAGCGAGTCCAGGTTTCATTGGTAGGGCGAGAGACGCTAGTACCAACGGAGATTCAGAGAAACGTGAGTGCACAGAGTCAATCAATTTGCCTCACCTGTTTATTCCTGTGACGTCATCTCTAGGATATGGATGACACTCCCACCGCTCTCCCCTCCCTCCTTCTCACCACGCCTAACAGAAGTTGAGCAACGTCCGAAGAGAGCAACGCCGGCGCCTGGTCGAGCATCCTCTCGGCAACGATCGTGCAGCAGGAGCCCACCAGCGCCTTCCCGCCCCCATCATTCGCTTCGAAGGCGACGTTCCTGCGGCTTCCTTGGACGCTGGGGTGTTCTCCGAGGTCAACGTGGTGGTCGACGATCTCGACGACGGCGTCTCCCAGTCCAGAGAGCCCCCCAGACACGGCGTTGTGGTCCGTCAAGGTAAGTCGAAGTCTTCCTTCCGCCTTGTGTAGCGGAAAACGCCGAAAATTACAGCAAGCCGAGGGCGTGGACGCAGCCGATTAGGTTGTAGGAATCGGGCCGGAGGAAGGCATGTAGTGCGTCCGGTTGGGTTAGGGCTTGTTGAGACCAAGCGAAACACGGAGCGCGAGACCCAGCCACGGCTTTCCTTTCGTAGGCCAAATTCAAGACCGCCGAACCAGAGGGTCAACACATATACAGGTCGTCGCCAAGAAAGGGCGCCCGAGTACCTCCAGCGCTACGACCCCCGGTAGGTTTGATCGCGCCTTCGTGCTTTGTTACTCACTCGCTCGCGCTCGCGAATATTGCACAAATTTCGAGGTGAACTTGAACGCAAACTTGTTCATCATGGGTGCTGCGTACCTGCAACGCGTGCAAGTCAAGCTCGTCGGCGAATACAATCGCCGAGGGATCGACATCGCACAGTTCGAACAGCACTAGCACCTCACGCCGCAGCGCCAGGTCTCTCCGCGGGATCGGCATCACTGTCCACTCGAGAGATCAGGCAGCGAAACCAACGGGGATGAGAAGGGTGAAGAGTACGGGCTGCGTAGATGAGGGGCGTAGCAGGAGAGAGCACTGAAAAGACGCAACCAGATGTGCGCTATGTTCCATGATCGGTTGACTGTTGGCCCTCGCCACCCCGGGGATCTTAGTTCGATTATTCGTTGTGGGCAGCGTATGCCATAAATTTACCAGGTGAAAACTTGACCCTCAACTATGCTCCTCAGCACGTATTGTTGATGAATCTACGCGTGATCCGAGTGGCTGTGCTCAAGCAGCACAAGCAAAATATCCTCGCCTATGTGCTCAGAGTTGAATTGACAGTCTCGGGGTGTACACAAGTGGAGCCAGTGTACCCTTCAAAGATGGTTACGCTTCAAAGAAGTACAACAGAGGCGGTTGCGTTTCGCTAGAGAGAGGTCTGTGATAAGCCACGAGCGACCATGCTGTAGGCACGTGATTAACGGCATCGTGCACATAACGAACATATAACCTGCCAGAACACAGGTGACGCTGCAATTGTTGCTGTTGCGTAGCGATCAGAGCACGTATGCGCGCAGACTCATCCTCCTCCGACCCATCATATTCACCGCCTACTGCTCACCCGGAACATGAACGACATCACCACCATCATCCTCAGCGGCAAGGGCGGCCGTTGCCTGCTTCAAGAAGGCCATGCCGATAGCGCTGCACATGCTGTCGGCGTCGCACGCTTCGTTGCCCGAGAAGACGTGAAACAGCAGTGTCTCTGTCTCTGCGGTTCCTTTCGCAGCGTTGGCGTGGCCCTGTTGTTGCCTCCTCGCCTTGGAGGAACACGTCTCGAGGAAGCTCGGCAGACTCGGCAACTCTTGCGCATTGCTGTTGCTTCCGTCCATAGTATTGCGACCGGTCACCGTTGCTGCCGTGGAACCGGCTCGTACAGTACCCTTAGTGGCCCCGCTGCTACTCCCCACTCTAGCCCTGCTGATGCTGCTAGAGGTGGTGCTGCTACTGCTGCAGCCACGCAGGTGTTGGCGTTGAGAGGAAGCGAAGGCGAGTTGCCGTCGAACAAGCTTCGGGGTTTCTGGCAGGGCTTTCGCTGGGAGAGCTGCGTGCGGCGCGAAGAAGAGCAAGGTGGCCGCAAGGTAGCGAGTCGCCGAGAAGTGAGAGTTGGCCGTTGCCCAGGTCGCCCGCATACGCCGAATCCGCTCGTGGCAGACAGAGCACACGGTAGCAAAGCACAGACCTGTGGACCTTCTACAGATTATGTGTGCTACGAGGGAAAGTGTTCAACCTTAAGGTTGTTGTCCACACGATTATGCCAACCCCTTCACTTGCTTGGTTGAAAATGAGACCGGGATCACGACGTGCCCCGGAAATATCGAAGCGTATGCTTGTTCTCTGGCCGTCCCCTTCGATACGCCTAGACAGGGCGCGTATTGCACAGGTAGGTGATGCACAGCAACGCGGCGCAATTACGCATGAAGCGGGGCTCCGTGTTTGCATGTACCATGGCGTCGAACGAACCAAACCAACAATCATCCCGCAACCGCGAGCAAGCGAGCAGAGCAAGCGAGAGCGAGACTGGGTATGGCTGAGGCCGCGACCCATTCACGACCTATCCCGAGCGGATGGTCAGACAGCAGTGACGATGTGAGTTTCAGCATGATCGACTTCAAAGTTTTGATCTCCAGCAGTACATCCGGAGGATTTGGTGCTCAGGAAGGAGATTGCAACATTGCAACATCACCACCAACGACAACAACGGCAGTATGCAGTGGAGACACCGCGTGATTACTGCTGCCTACATAGATAGCTGGTGCTTGCACACCCCTTTGACTGTTATTTGGCACCAAGCGGCGGTCTATTCAGAGCTACTGTTTGTTTGCTCCTATCTCCCGCTTGACCGTGCGATACGCACAGCAGTAGTCTCGAGGAGGCGCAGTGACATTATTTCCCCCGCCGTCCTTAGTCGCGAGCCGTATGCAGTGGATCAAGACAGCAAGCACCATGGGGTGATATGCAAAGAGGATAACGAACAAAGAAAAAAGTTTGTGTCAAACATGCGGGATTGGTAGCACTTTGGCAGTTTGGTCAGTTCCCGACGTACAGAACCCTGCCATCGGAGATATCGGAGATATCGCAGACAAGAGGTTGAGATGTTGAGATGAACAATTGTATTTGAAATCGAGTCGTAAGAAGCTAATTTTTACGGCGAGCTTTCTTCAATCCACCATCGTTCGGCATGTCCATCTGCGCAAGCAACTCTAACCGTCGAAGACCCTTCGTGTAATGAAGATTGGTGCCGGCGTAGTGCAACCCGTACGCCAAACAGAGTGCAGGCCTTTTTGATGCACTGCATGCATAGTTTACTTTATACCCAGATTGTTGGTGATGTCGTGGCCAGCCCGACGCATTCAGACTGAAGCACACGGGATTCGCGTTGCGCTTACCGCTGCAACATGTACCCATGAAGGCAGATGCCGTGTTGCTGTGCTACTGAATCGCGATGATGGCAATTTGTGCCGAACCCGGGGAGCACCAAACAAAACCATTTTTCGATTCTTGGCGTCTACGTCACCCATCAGGACGCGATACATACTTCTGAAGTCGCGAGGGAAGGGATTGCTGTACCCTTCTCGCGATAAAAATATCTCAGTCAGGAACCGCAGGAGGGGGTCCGACCCCCCCCTCCTATGTGACCCCGGCTGGGTCGTCTAGCTGGTAGAAGGGGAGGATAGGGGCCAGAGGGGCAGACGACAGAGTCCAATGATGGGAGAAAAACAAACAAAAACAAAAAAACAACATACACAGACAGCAAAGGGCGCTGTAGAAAAAACCTGACGCTAGTTCTCCCCCCTCCCCTACGACGACCTCTCGTTCGGCTCGCAATGGCGGACAATTAAATACGAATTACGAAGGGCAACAACAACAGAGACGGTGCGGCAGCAGGATGGGGCGGTGGCGGTTTTGACGACAGCAGCAGCGACGGCGGCTGGAGCGGTGGCAGGGGCGGTGGCGGCATGCGGGAGTTCGAGCGGAGCTCGGCCGAGAACACTCGAGAGGCGCTGCTCGACAACGACGCTCTGCTGCTCCGCGAGCCGCCCGCCCCGGCGAACGCCGGCAGCGCCGACAACGACAGGAGGCAGACTTCTCCTTTGTCGCCTCCGCCGCCACCGCCAGTGCCGTTGCGGTATGTCCCGGGGGACCCTTTCGCCAACGAAGAGGCCGACGTCGGGGCTTGGGCGAAGCACTTCACCTATCTCTCTGTGGTCCCAACGGAGAGGGGGGAAGGAGGCGATGCGGAGAAACGGAACAACGATAACGCGGGCGGTGGGTTGTTGGAACGGGGCCCCGTGGCGGAACCTCCTCCTGTGCGGGATGTGATGGAGACGGACGAGGAAACGGGCGGAGTTGCGGCTGTTGAGGGTCGTAGAATACAAATACAAGACTTAGCACCGGAAGTGGCGGCGGCAGAGCTGGCACGGCGACGATCAGAGGAAAGACCGCAGGAGGAGGAAGTCTTCGCGAGCCACGGCGTGTACGAGGAGTACCTGGCGTACGACTGCCGACCCCCCGGCTTCGACGACGTCACTTCTCCGGGCGGAGAAACCTCGGGGGCTGGAGAAGAGGACTCCAGATTAGCGGCCAAGGTTAGCGGGGCTTGGGCTACGACCGGGGTTGTTCCGGACGCCACCTCCGCCGTGGGACGGGGGGCGTGGGTGAGCAACAACGCTGCGTCAGAATCACCAGCTCTAGGGGCAAGTACGACGGGGGGCTTGCACCGAGCGGTCGCGAGACTCGACACGCCGCAGCGTGAACTTAGGCAGGAGATCATGGACCGCCTGTTCGACGAGCTGTGGGAACGAATCACGCCGGACTTAATGTTGCTTCTTCGGCAGCAGCAGGCGGCGGGCGGCGGCAGGAGAAGAGGGGAGGGGGGGGGGGGGGGGGGGGGG